GCACCAAACCTTCAACTTTAGCGTCGATTCCGCAACAAGGGACTTCGTACCTACGGGTGGGGACCCGTTAAACTAACAAAAACCTCTTCAGTTTTGAACGATATAAATGTGGCATGTTTTGAATGTATTAAACTATAAACCTAGGTATGAGGACAGTTTCTATATTATTATTTCTCTTTTATTTAAGTTCAGAACAGCATAGTTAGATTCTCTGGAATAGTGATCATGGTTTTCTCTGCCGTGCTCTTTTACATGTGAATTCCAGGCAGAGTACGGCACAAATTTAGCGTTTTATTTACATAACATATTCTCTTCAAATTTCCCAAAATATTGCTTTGTCGAGGCGCCTCCGAGGTAATTACAATAAAAAAATATTTAACACAACGTAGGTTCCTTTCTTTCTTTTAAACTTCTTGTTATACAGTTGGCCAAAAATATTACCTCTTCAACTTTGTTGACGAATTTGGGTTGTTACACCACAAACTTTTTCGAATGTCTTAGACGGTTGGACACCCATTCCAAGTCACGGATGGAGTCTTCCTGATTCTTCAGTTCCGCTTTCAGTATACGGTATAAGTGACCATATAAATTTACAGACCAAGAATAAAAATTTGTCTTATAGGTACCTACTATTTTTTCTCTTGTAATATAAGAACCATCGAAACAATCGAACGCAGCTAAAACAGCCGCACACGTCGTACTGACATTTGACAGTTCGGCAGCGAGAGCAAATAGCCGGTCGGTGGCAGGTTAGCAACCAGTTCGCTGCAGGAGAGCGCGATCGACATTCGGATTGCGACCGGAATTTCGTATTTACTGTATCGCCTATACCTTGTAACGGCGGTCTCGTATTTTTAGGGCTATAATATCGATACGGGCTTACAGTTAACTGGCGAGACGAAGGAGCTCGAACCGTGTAATAGAGAAAAGTGGTCGTTTTGTCCAGATACTTCCTACAATTACTTATTACTTTTTGTGTGTTGGGTTCTCGGAATTTTCTATACTTTTGTTAGTTATAAACAGAATAACATTTTTAGAGAAAGATAAATTGAAAATGGTGCTTAAAAATTAAATAAAATATTAGTTTGTATACAGGATGGCGCCTCTAATACGCCACGGAAGCTCCAAGAAGAACGGTAGTTTATATCGAAATAAAATTTTGGCAGCATATGTAGGTTAACTAAAAGCATTTAATAAAAACATATAGAATTATACAGGGTGTCCTCAAAAAAAGTTACACATTAAAGTTGTGTTTTTTCTAATGGAACACCCTATATATTAATTGATTTTCGGATTCTATGAAAAAAAATAAAGGTGAGTTTTATTAAAGATACCTAAAATATACCTAAAATTTAAGGATTTTGACATATTTCACATTTTGAGAAAATGAAGAGTAAATTTTAAATTAATATGGAACATTTAGTCACATTTAAAAGCAAGTTACTCCTTTATTTTAAATGGAACTCCCAGTATATTATTCCGGTGTTCAATGGGGAATTTATATATCTTGAAAATATTATTAAGGTTCCCTAGATATTTTAATTTTTATGATTTTGCGTCAGTAGATCTTTATTATTTGAAAAAATCTAGATAGCTGTGATATACCTTTTGTTAATTTAACAAAAATTAAAAGATATAGAGTAAAATACTCAACGGTAATAAAAAGATACACGTTTAAAACATATTTTAATTATTACACAATTAAAACTAGATATAAATCTATAATTATGTGACAAAAATTAGCTAAGTGAAATCAAATGCTCAAAATGCTTCCTTTCCTGTAAACTGCATAAAATTATTGTCTTTTCAAAAGATGTTTTCATTTTAAAAGGCATTTATGTGGAGTTCTACCTCCACATTTCTCTGATGTTGTCGACAATTAATAGTTGGTCGCTGTTTTATAAACACTGTCTTTAAAAAAATAATCCCCATAAAATAAAACCAGACTAGATAAAATCAGGAACATTTAAGTATTCTATTAATTGGTGAATGCCACACTGCATTCAACTGATAGAATCATATCAATTCTCTCTGATGTAGAATAAGTTTGCATTTTGGGCAAATTTCTGAGACATTTTTTTGTTTTAACTGACACAAAATGATAACTAGTTGTTAGAGTTGGACTATACTGGGTGTTATATTTAAAATAAAAGAGTAACATCCTTTTAAAGGTGGCCAGTGTTCAACAGTAATTTTGTCACACCTTGTATAACTTTTTGGGTCAAGTTTTAATTTGATTTAAAGTAAAATAGTTAATTTAACTACATATTAGGCTATACCGGGTAAATCACAATTTAAGTAGATAACTTTTATTGTAATTTAAAAATTGTTCTTTATTTTTAGAATTTTTTTTGGGGACATCCTGTGGAAGTCTATATTTTAAAAGTGATCTGAATTAACCTATGTATGCTCACAAAATTTCACTTCAATACAAACTGTCGTTCTCCTTGGAGCCTCCTCCCCGTATGAGAGGCGCCATCCTGTATGTTATTCTTCTTAGAGATCCCATGATAAATCCATTCGATATATTTTATGCTTCTTAAAATATTTGTGGTTTGTCAAGAAATCCAAAAATACTGCAGGAAAATCAATATACAGTTAATATAACAAAAGCCGATTAATTCCAATAAACTTTTGGGAAAGCTTCAGTTCTTAACAATAAAAACTAGAGCACTAGCGTCTAAATTGAATGAAGTATTCATCACCTAAATGTGAGCGTGCTAAAAAGTTGCTCGAACTAACTTTGAACAAGTATAGCTCTTGGCCCATTGTTATTCGAAGCAACTTTGTTCTAGATGGGAGAGAACAATCAATTTGTATGACTACTGGATTCCCAGCGAGAAATTAGGTAAAATAAAATCAATTTAATTATCTTTAAACTATAAATTTGTATTATTTTTATATATTATTATAATTTTTAGTAAAAGTACGTTGGGTACCAAGATCGACAAATAAGTACTTGGTATTTATTTATTCACAATCCGTGTGAGTAATGATCATTACTTTCCCAGTATATCCACGATTCTAGTATAATAAATTGTACCTTGCTACTCCAAAAGCATGTAAAAATCCCGATTTATACAGGGTGTCCCAGGCTGAGCGTTCATTAGAAGTTTCTAGAGAACCACAATATCTAGATCGGAGATTTTTTGCATATCGTTGTTTTACAACGAAATCTATCGATTAAAAATATTTTCAATATGGCGGCACTTCCGGAAATACCGGAAGTTGACAACAACTTTCTTATTTTAAATGGCTGCCCTTATTTTTTATTACATACTTAAATTCTCTGTAAAATTCTATGAATATTGACTCTATATCTAACATTAACCGTTTTTGAAAAAAAAAAATATTTAAAATTTTTGGACGAAAAAAACTACCTGTCAAAAAAATTTTGTATAGCCTAGAAGTCAAATTTAGTGATTGCTACAGCTACTGTGACATAAAGAGAAGACATGTAGCTATCTATTTCAAAAATTAAATTGTGCAAATGTCATATGATAATGGCGGTAGCTGTCATGAAATTGAGCGATTAAAAAGTTATTATAAATCATTTTTTTCAAATGGAAACCCACTTTTTTTTATTTCACTAGTGAAAAGTTTACAATTCGTTACTTTTTAACTATACATGTTCCTATACCAAAATTTAATCGTTTTTAAGTTATTTAAGATTTAATTTGAAAACGTATATTTTCCTTGATTTTATCTAGCTTCCTTTGACATTAAGTGTCAAAAAGTCAGACAATTTATTTCCATCTGTCAGAAAACAAATTATTTGAATTTCCTATATTGTAAATACTGTTGCCTTAAAAGTTTAAAAAGTGTATTTATAAAAATATGTCTCGTATTTTCGCTCCTTAGTGATATCTAATAGTTGATATTAATTCTATTAATAATATACTGTATCAAACCTGAAAAAAAACAACGCAAAGTTGGCTTGCAAATGATGATTGATAACATATTGCGTTTTGAACAAAGTGTCACAATATGACATAGCCAGATCTATTGTTTTACATCACTTGACGTTTAAAGTCATAGGCTACTGGTTAAAATCAAGAAAAATATACGCTTTAAGCTTTAAAATTAAATTTTAAATAACCTAAAAACGATTTATTTTAGGTATAGGAACATGTATAGTCAAAAAATAACGAATTGAAGAGCCTTTACACTAGTGAAATAAAAAAAGTGGATTTCCATTTGAAAAAAATTATTTATAATCATTTTTTAATCGCTCAATTCCATGACAGCTGCAGCCATTATTATATGACATTCAAACAATTTAATTTTTGAAATAGATAGGCGTATGTCTTCTCTTTATGGCACAGTGGCTGTGGTAATCACTAAATTTGACGTTTAGACTATACACATAGTTTTGACAGGCAGTTTTTTTAATAAATGTAATAAAATAAAAATGTAATAAAAAATGGGTACCCATTTAAAATAAGAGAGTTGTCGTCAACTTCCGGTATTTCCGGAAGTGCCGCCATATTGAAAATATTTTTAATCGATAAATCTCGTTGTGAAACAATGATGTGCAAAAAACTCCGGTCTAGATAATGTGGTTCTCTAGAAACTTCTAATGCACGCTCAGCCTGGGACACCCTGTATACTACTCTTTAATAATTATAAAGGATTTACTCATCAATACATACTGTATAAAAATATTTATAAGAAATAAGTTATTCCTCGAAATCACTGCTATATAAAATCCAAAATATAAGGCAACCAAGCCACAAAAAATCTATTTCATTTTATTTCGTCCCCATGGCCTTATTTTCTGGGAACGACAGAACAAAACAGGAAAATTTGGAAAAAACTGTTGATTTTTCCCCTTTCCGCATTGATATTCCTGCGAAATTGCTGCAATAAATCCCGAGGACGTTTCTCTGTATTCCCTAAAATATTTAGATGCAGGGTCTCGAGTTCCGACGACCCTTTTGCCGTATATCATTGCGAGGTAACGAGATAAAAAAGATTCAGTAATGGTTTCTGTTACTTACCTCTTCTGCTACTTCCTTCACTTCTCCGTTTTTATCCACGCTCTCTTTGGATGGTTTTGACTTGTCCTTTTTCGAGAATGATATCGACCTGCAAAAAAACATATATCTTTGCATTAGTATGCAAGTTTTTTTAATATAGACTTAATAAAATATTTCTAGAATAACATTGAACTATCTTTCCTTATACCAGGAAGGGAAAACTGGATAAAAGGTGTACCCATTCAAGCTGAAGTGTGGATATCGCGGCACTTCATAGGATTATATCAAATGACTTAATCACCATTAAATCTTGGTGCGATTCGAACCTCCTGAGTCTCAACATTTCTAAAACTAAGGCTTTGTCGTATAAAAACTCGTTGCAGCCTTTTGTACTTGACAACACCACCATTGACGTCGTAAAATCCGTAAAATTCTTAGGGCTTGTTGTGGACAATTCTGAAATGGGACATACATATCGAAGCTTTGTCGAAAAAATTGAGCTCTGCCTGTTTTGCATTAAGGTCTGTTTCTAAGGAGCTTAATTTGTCAGTGGCTAGAACTGTTTATTATGCACTTTTTGAGTCGCACCTCAGGTATGCCCTTCCATTCTGGGGTACGTGTTGTGCGGCTCAATTTGACCGCATTTTCAAGCTCCAGAAGAGAGCTGTTCGATATTCACTGGGACTAAACAGCAGAACTCATTGCCGGGGCTTTTTTAGAGAATTAAAAATATTGACTCTTCCTTCCTTATTTATATTTGAATCCGTTTGCCTAATACGTAAACATGTATCAGCTTCTCAAGAAAGGCCATCTCACACTTATCCACTCAGGAACGCGGAGCAAGATCTTTATCTACCTACCCCACGCTCAGAGTTAGTTAAAAGTTCAATATTATACAACTCGAAAAAAATGCACAATCACCTGCCATTTGAAATCAAATCCATAACATCATTTTTTTCATTTCGCAAAGCATTGAACTCTTATTTACTAGACAAGGCTTTCTACGCCGTAAATGAATTATATTTGAATTGAAAATCGAATTTGATCTTGAAAACACTGGTCTAATGTTTGCTATTGCTATATTTACGAATGACATCGAAATTAATTTATTTAGAGGTCATTGATATTTTGCTATAAATTGGCTAAATATTTTTGAATATTATTTTAATTTTTTTTGTTCTTTGACATTGTAAACATTTATATATGTTTATTTTAACAATAAGACTGACAATATTATTTGTATAATGTTTTGTATTATCTTTTGTTTGTTTGTTTGTGTACCTTGTTTTTTTTTACTTTATTTGTTAGTTTACCTTTGTCCACAAATTGAAAAAATTTTTGACAATAAAGGCATTTATTTATTTATTTATTTAGAAGCAACCTGGTATACAGACAGCTCAAGAACGACGGAAAGCTGGAATAGTAGTGCAGAATTAGAATTTTTAGAATTTAGAATGAGTGGGAGGGGGGTTAATCACTTCGACCTTACAGATCCATTGTGTCCCCCTTTCTTGAATCATAACTGATCATACAGTCCCAGGGCTTTGACAAAAGCCAGTATCTGGGACGGTTTTATAGAGGGTAGTTCTCCATCTCCAATATCAGTCGTACCAAAATTCATGGCACGAATGGTTGTCATCTCGGCGCACTCAGTGATGAGGTGTACTGGTGTTTCCCCATCTTCCCCACAGAATCTGCATTCGCCGTTTCTTCTTAGTTTCAATCTACTGAGGTGTTCGTTGAGGAGACAGTGTCCTGTTAAAAACCCCGTGACAATCCGAAGATTGTTCTTACTCAGACCCAGGAAGATCTGTGATTTTTCTTCATCATAAGCCCTCAGAAACTTCTTCGAGTGTCTTAGACCATTGGAAAATTTCCATTCCAGGTTGCGGATGGAATCTTCCAAGTTCTTGAGTTCCGCCTTGAGTTGGTTACCACTTGGAAAGCAGAACGGTTCTGGTTCAGTTAGTGGAGTGTTCGCTGCTTTCCTAGCTAGATTATTTGCTTTTTCATTGCCTTCTATCCCTTGGTGAGCAGGCACCCAGTGTAGGAGGACTTTGTTTTCTTTGCCTAATTTATTCAGCTTCTCTATGCATTCTTTGACCAATTTCGAATTGATTGATACTGAGTTGATCGCCTTTAACGCTGCTTGACTATCAGATAAGATGGCTATTTCTTGTTTCCGATAGTTCCTATCTAAGATAAGTTGTACGCATCTCTCGATAGCGTAGATTTCTGCCTGTAGGATACTAGGGTAAGTGCCCATTGGTTCGGAGTAATTAGCTCTCGGCCCAGTAGTAGTGCAGAAACAAGAAATATCTTTCCACGATGTAAGCCTCATCTGAGGATGTCATAATTTTTTTATCTTCTTCCAAACATCTTCTTGCATGCATAGAATGCATTTATTCCTTTTATCATCCTTTCCTCTGTGTTCCTTTTCAAGGAAAGCTTCGAGTCTAGTATGATTTCTAAATATTGTTACGGTTTTCGTCGGTTCCGTGTGGATAAAAAGGCGGAATTAACGGCAATCCACTATTGTGTGGAAGAAATAATACGACAGCTAAAAACACATCGTTCGGTGGCCATCTTCACAGACAGCCAAGCAGCGCTAAAGGCACTCGGTTACACGGAGATCGATTCTAGACTAGTGTGAGATTGAGTTGAGCGTAGCAATGTTACGTTAGAATGGGTACCTGATAAGATTTAATCGCAGCGATTGTAAATTCGCAACCTGTGATTCCTTTCCATAGCAAACTGCGACTTGCGATTGAAACATATATCTGCCGATTTTGGATTTTTAGGCAACCAATATTACACCAGTTGCGATTTGCAATCGCAGTGGGCACGCGAACGAAGAGCTGCGAACGAAAATCACAGCATTGCGATTTTCATTGCATCGACACGGCACTGAGAAGCCGAACGATGAGCTGCGAATGAAAATCGCAATATTGCGATTCCCGTACGCCCCGGCCGGCGGCGGCGTGTCTTCAACACGGCAGTGGACAGGCGAACGAGGAGCTGAACGAAAATCGCAGCTCATCCCAGCATTGCGATTGCGATTTTCGTTGGCACCGGCGCGGCATATCGGGAGTGGGCACGCCAACCAAGAGCGGCGATTGCTATTTTCGTTCGCAGCTCCCAACACATCGGCCTAGACTAGTGATGGGTTGTTATTTAACTATCTGTTATTTTATAACAATTATTTAGAAATAACATAACGCAACCGTTACTGCTTTTAAAAAATAACAGATATAAAATAACGACACGCAGAGATCGAGTGTTCGTGAAACGAAGTCGGCGCTCTGCACCGCCACGAAATTCGATGCTGCTCGAAGCAATTCCAAAAAACAACTAGTATGGATGGAAACAGTACTGCCAGGTCAAAATATTAAAAATCACCAGATATCTGCTCTAAAAGTTGCCAGATTTGGAAAAAAATCACCAGATTTCAATTTTTTCGCATATAATACAGTAGTTTCAGACAATATTTAAAAAAGAATCAAATAAATAGTTTTAAAACACGTTTTATTAAAAAAAAAATATTTTTGAAATGCAAAATGCAAATATACTGAGTGCGTCTCAAAATGGCTTACCCCTATAATAACTTTTTTATTTTTTCAGATAAAAAAACGAGATTTGGTATGTTAGTGTATGACAAAATTAAGATTGGATTAACGTACCTATTCAATTGTTTTTGGTCACTTCCTGTTTCACCGGAAATGACTACAATTTTTGGTTTTTAAATGGCATCCTCGGTATATTTTTACTTTATTCGATAGAAAATGACACTCTGAATAGAATGACATATTATATGTCAAGTTTTGACATTCTCGCTTAATAAAAAATCATATTTTAAAACTCAATCTAGAGTACCATGGCTATGTTAAAAACAATAATTCTTAATTAAGGACCTTGGAAAAATAAATTTGATCGTGAAAATGCTCAAATCGTATATTTAATCATATCTCAATTTTTTCAAATGGAACTAGAATGGCTCATTAGCATATTTGGAAAAATCATTTTTTTACGAATAATTTTATACCGTACACTTGGTATTTCGAGTCAAATTTTCTTTACGAACCGGAAGTTATAATTTCAAATAAACCATATGTGAAAATGTCAAAAAGTTGAGGGTGCCATTTAAAATCAAAAGTTTTAGTCATTTCCGGTGAAACAGGAAGTGACCGAAAACAATTGAATGCGTCAATCAATCCTAATTTATGTCGTATACTAACATACTAAATCTCGTTTTTTTAACTGAAAAAGTAAAAAAGTTATAGAGGTGAGCCACTTTTGAGACGCACCCGGTATAGCCATGTAAAAAAGTTAAGTTTCAAGTCAATTCTCAAGTTAATTAATTTTTCTACCTGAAACTTAGTTTAATAGGTATATTTGTTCTATTTTTTACAATAACCATTGTTACGGTTTGAATGTAAACTCATAATATAATAGTATTTTTTGTTTAATAAAAGCCAGTGTCCAAAAATCACCAGAAAAAGGGCTTTTTCAAAAAATTTTCACCATTTCACCAAGTGGGGTCGAAAATCACCAGATCTGGTGAAATTTCACCAGACCTGGCAGCACTGGATGGAAAACCTATTATTTCGACAACCATCGATACAGGCGGCGAGATACAACGGACAACGGAGTGGGGTATGCGCTACGGCGCGGCGCGTCGTGTTGGGCTGACAACAGCTTAAAAATAATAGGATATAAAAGAAGCAGCTTTTTTGAAACAGTTGCGGGCATAACGCCTGGCTGTCGAGATAACAGGAGTGGGAAAGGAGCGCTGCTGCATCGGTCGATTGTCGATGGAGGCTCGCAACGGGTTGGAGAATAACGCATCAGTTGTTTTAGCTATGTTGTTTTTTTACCTGTTACGAGCATAACAGAACGGCGTTCGAGATAATCGGAGGTTTGAAACAGGTTGGAGAATAACGCATCAGTTGTTTTAGATACATATTGTTTTTCAACCTGTTACGAGCATAACGGGCGGAGGTCGAGATATTATGGCGCTGTATGTTTCAATACTTTGTTATTAAGTTTCAATATTTAAGTATTTATTTATTCTGAAAAATTTTCAGAATAATATTTTAAGATTTTTTAAAAATGTATACAGGGTGTTTTGAAAAATCTGGTCATTGATTAATCACGATCCTGCTTAAAGCCCTTGACGTAAAAAGCTGATTTTTGGAAAACGGATTGACTTTAGGGTGTAGAGGTGCGATAAGAAGGGATTTTTCGAAACTCAAATTCTAAGGGGGTGAAACCACCCTCAAATATTAGAATATTTTTTATTTAAAAACTGGTGAGTTTTTCGAAAAAACTCTTAAACACGTATATTTTATTTTGTTGTTTTACATATTTTGAGATTTTTACAAAATATATACAGGGTGTTTCATAAAATATGACCACTGAGTAATCACTATTCTGCTTAAACTGCTTGACGTTTAAAGCTGATTTTTGGTAAACGGATTGACTGTGGGGTGTAGAGGTGCGATAAGGAGGGGTTTCTCGAATCTCAAATTCCAAGAGGGTGAAAACGCCCCTCAAATATTACAATATTTATTATTTAAAAAACGGTTAGTCTTTCGGGAAAACGATTGGACACGCATAATTTATTTTGTTTTTTTACATATTTTGAAATTTTTTAAAAAATAATACAGGGTGTTCCAAAAAGTTGAGTAATTGATTAACCACGATTCTGCTTAAACTGCTCGACGTTTAAAGCATATTTTTGGCAAATGTGAGAAAATTTTATCCAGTTTGTATGTTAATGGAAATTCTTGCTTTGCTTTATCATCACCATTACAAATTAATAATTCGATGCGAACGAAGTCGCGGGTACAACTTAACAAGTATAGCTAGAGACGTGAGAAATATAAAATAAGAGACGCCCCCCGATGCGCAGTGGACATCCCACAAATTTGCTTCAATCAGATTTTTCGTAGCGTAACTGCATCTCTCTTCCGCCGAATGCGTTCTCTCTCTATCGTGTGCGCGACCGGTGCTATCCCCAAGTCTCTTCCTATATTTGTCAAACTGTACATGCTAGTTTAAGTGTAAAATTAATTCGAACTCTAGTGTGTAGTTGGTTTACTTATGAAGAATATACTACACATTTTCTTATATTGCTATTTTTTGACCGCAAATGGTAAAATCATAACGAAGAGCTTCTCGCCCGTCGAGTGAGATGCACCCTGTACACTGCTACGCAATTCAGAATCTACGCGGATCGAGGGGTAGGGCGTAGGTAGATCGGAATTTATAGATATAGACGAGTGGCGGCATTTTGGCTTTTTTATATCGCAATTTGTAAACAGCGCTTATTTGTAAACAACCCCCGTTTTTAGAGAGGTATTTTAGATAACAATCGATATTTAGAAATGTTATGACACCCTGGAAATACTACCACCGAGCACGTCATTGTTGCAACTGCGTTAATACGCCTGGCGGTGACCGCCTCATATTCTTTCAGATATTTAGCAATAAAATAAAGAAACCTGTTATTTTTAAGCTGTTATTTTAAGCTGTTTTTTATAAATAACTATAACAGTTTCAACTGTTATCTAAAAATAACAGTTTTGCCCATCACTAGCCTAGACTAGATCGCAAAATCACATTCGCAATCAGGGCCCCGTAATTTTTATGAAGCGTTGGAAAATAGGCTTATATGTATATGTTTATATACCGCATAATATATATAATTTATTAGTTTTAAATTTTGATAATAGTTTTATATTTATAATATAATTATGGATTGAGAAGGTTAAAAAATTCTTGTTTTCGGTAATTATAGTTAAAGTTGCTCCCAGGTAATGATCCAGGTAAAATGATTCATAAGAACAGTTCTGGATTCAAATTATAAAAAATTATCTATTTTTATCCTTTATTTACTAGAAGATATAGAGCACGGAAAAGAAACAGCCCTTTTTATTTATTATATTTTGTTATATATTATATTATTATAAACATTTTATAAATAATCCATAATATAATATAACTTTTCTGAATATACTAACAGTTGTGGATCGGCTGCTATGTTAATTTAAATACATCCTTTACAATCAGTTTTTTTCATTTTAGAGAAATTTCAAATACAATAAAATGTGATATTGTCCTTTTTATTTATCTAAAAGTTCGAAAGTTTGCACTTGCACTGGACGGATTGCATCAAAGCCGTCGGCGTCGGCTTCTTTTGAGTTACATATATAAAGAAAATGTTTTAAAAGAAAAACAAGGTAAAATAAACAGTCTTTTTTCTAGTTATCTGAATTAAGGTTGGCGGCAACCTTTTTTATAATAAATTTTTCGTTAGTATACCTACTGTCTAAAAGCACATTCGAATATTTTGAACATTTTATGTATTTTTAATTTCCCTTTAAATTTATTCGGTCTGTTCTAAACAAAAATGTTTAAAAAAAAGGAAACTAAGTTATCTGTGGATTTTTTTGGTAGGTAATTGATGAAAATTTTAAGTGCAATATGTGTGCAGCAAAAATATCATAAAAACACGCACTACAAATTTTAAAAGGCACATGGCATCGAAACACCCAACAGTTTCTTTGTAAGTTTTATTAAAAAAATTATTCCGCTATTTATTCTGTTTTTTATTAGAAATTTTGGGATTGAGCTTCCCAGTTTACAGCGTACCAATTTAAAAATATCCAAATCGCAATCGCAGGTTACAGTCGCAGCGATTTATAAATCACAATCGCAGTTTCAACTGCGATTGGAAAATCGCAGTTTTGCTCATCTCTAGTACCTGAGCAAGAAGGTCACAAAGGTAACGAAAAGGCAGATGAATTGACCAAACAAGGCTCATCAATAGCCCACCATTCATAGACCCAAAACCCTTGTGCGGCGTTGCAAAAGCAGTCACGAGAATGGCCACAAAACGATGGGTAATCAACAAATATCTGTTACAAAAAGTACCACACTATATCAAACTTTCCACGTCATCAATCAGGTAAAACAGACGAGATTGCGCGACTAACACGAACAAAACGCCTCCTCTATCGCCTCTATTTCGCACATAAATTTCCCGGTTTATAATGATTTTTAATCCACCTCCAGAAGTTGAGGACCTGTGCACGCTCCCGTCGCCGTAAATCACGACGTCGTGGGTTCAAAGGTTGGCGACGGCGGCGTCGTTATCAGGGAAAGGCGCAGCCAGACGCGTGATTTATCTCGGTCGAGTCGAGTTTCTTCCTTGATTCTCACAACTTCACGTGGCTTCGCCAAAAAACGGATGCTCTATTCAGATTTTAGTTATAGGGTGACGCAAAATAAAACACTAATTCACCACAATATTAATATCTACAAACTGAGCGTTTTTATAGGCGCTCAGTTTGTAGTTGGTACTGACCAAACGTGACAAAATTAGCCAAGCGAGTCAAAACCAATCTTCCGACCGGCAGTAAACGCTATCAAAAAATAAAGATTACGGACCAAGTAAATGACGTCTAGGGCTTGACCTCGCCAAAATTATCATCGACTGTCGATGATAATCCCGTCTTTGACACCGTTTTTTTTTATGGTATGGTACATCGATAAGGCAAAGTAACAAAATGGTTCATAAAGTGTCTTACCTGAACGACCATTTCTTTTTCTTCTCTTTCTTTTTCTTCTGTTCTGACGATTCCTCTACTTTCTGTTCTGCTGGTGTTTCCTTCTCCGGCGTTTTTTCGCCATTTTCTACTGGCGTTGTTACTTCCGTTTTCTGATTTTCGTCGACGGCATTTGAGGGTTCGTCCGGAAGACCGTTCTCTTTTATTTCCGGTTTGGGCGTGTCCTTTTCTTTGTCTTCCGTTTCGTCCTTGGACGTTTCTTCTTCTTTATCCTGCAACAAAAATATGAAATTAAAAATTATAAATCTTTAATTTTGTAATCATCCTATTAATGGCTTATATCAAGCAAACGAGGTGTTGGGTCTTCTTTGTTTGTAGTTTCATCTAATCCTAGAAGACTGAACCTATATTTAGCTTTTATCAAAATCAAATATATAAATTTTCATATCTACCCAATCTCTAATGTGAGAATGGCAACCAGTTTGGCAACCTCGTAAAGGCATCGTCCGTCGTCATAAAAACCGCAAATAAGTTAATAAATAAGAACGGCGACAACGTTGCCGAACCCCGTCCAACCGGACCTGCTACGGAAAAAATGCTGCGAGCACCACGCCCGGTTCCGCGGCCTGCTGCGATCTGCATATTCTCTTCGTTCTAATGAGATATGACACCTGGCTTCGAATATCTACTGAAATTGGCAAAACGGAATGTTGTGATGCAGTATTTCGACTGTCGAAAAATATAATCATAAGTTATTTGGGATCAGAACAGCTAAAATACTGTCTCTACAGAAAAAATCAAGAGAGCAGTATATAATAACAAATATATCTTGGATCTTAACCACATAGGTGACCTTCCACGTGATCGTCTTCCCTCTACCTTCCCCTCCACCAACAGTCTCTCAATTGAGGTGCCACTCCTGGCAATATGGCCAAAATATCGGAGGATTGACTGATTTAATTTGGTAACCAGACGTGTCTCAATTTTTAGTTCTTCGATAATGGAGATGTTTGTTTACCCACATCCCAATGTTTGTTTGTACCCACATCTCCAAGGCATTTATTCCTTGCTTATCACTTTCCTTTAGTGTCCATGTTTCAGAGCCATACATAGCTATGGAAAAAATGAGGGAGTTCGCAATGCGCAATTTAGTTTTTCGGGTGATTGCTGAAATCTTCCATATCTTAGTCAGCTTTGTTGTTACATTCCTCGCCATTGCCACTGCAGATTACACAATGATAAAAATATACTGGGAATGACAAAGAAAGGCCGTAAAAAATAGAGTGGATACGACAAAAAGCTCAGGTAATAAATGTCATTCACAGAACCAAATCCCTCAAGTGGCAATAGGCGGGACACCAAGCAAGGACAAACTACAGATGGACCACAAAAAATAAAGCATGGTATCCAAGAGGAATTAAGAGACTTAGAAGAAGGCCAAAGCTAAGATGGGATCATGATATTAGGAAATTAACAGTGATAACTTGGACAGCAGTGATAGCCAACAATAGACAACAATGAACCCAATAAAGGATGGGATATAAATGTCATCTTCTGGTCATTCATTGAACCCTTCTTGAATTTCCCTTTTATTGAATATCTTAGGAAAAAATAGGAACGGTCATTTTATCTTTAATGTAGATGCTGGGTATTTTGCTACAGCTGGGAAAATACCTGGGTATTTTGCTACTGCAGCAAAAAAGAAAAAACCTTGGGTGACTTGTAACTCATCCATTGGTATTTTAATTCTTATGTTAGTTAAGAAAAGTACAATATGGCTCTTGGCGACATCCACATTTAAAGACATGGAGAATCTGTTTCACGTAAAAAAAGGTCTTGATTTAATTTAATTTCAAAAACTGCTAAATCAGTTAAAAATCAAAAGATCCATTACTTTTTATCTCAAATATCAATGGGTTGTTAAAAGTCTATAAAAACGAATTTCCCATTAATAATTTTCTTGAATATAAATTTGTTTCAAATTTACAGATCACTACAATATTTTGTCTTAGTAAAGAAAGAAAAGTATAAAATAAATAATGAAAGAAACTGAAAAAGAAAAATTAAAACATTAAAATCTTGATTGAATAAATAACTCCTACTACATTTTGTTTCATCAATTGTTACTGATTCAAAGTTTATCTTTGAAATTGCGTGCACTATCCAAAAATACCATCGACTCTCCAAATAGCAGGAGGCGTTAAAGACTGAAGACGGACCGTGACCTTGTACAATGGAATGCAGAGCCCAAATGAGTTCTAATATTAGAACGGGCACACACGGTGTAGTGGGTGTTATACGTTCAGTGGAGTTGTGAATATTTTACTATATAACACCCAATTAGAGGCTTAATACCGGGATTTCTAGTAAATTTGAATATTTCTGTCGTAAACATTTTTTTCCTCTTATTTTATTACATTACGATATTTTTTGCTAGCAAAATATATTGCAAAGTAACTTGTTGTGGTTATCCATATATTTTAAACAAATATAAATGTTCGAGTAAAGAAAGACTAATAAGAAACTTGTTTTAAATGCATTTTTAACAACTTATTGACAATTTTCAAAAAAAACGGACAAGTGTGGTTACAAATTACAAAAGAGGGAACCAGTTTCAAACACCACTTGGTAAAAAACAAAATATTTCATATTTTTTAATTTCATAAAAATTAAATAAAACAAGCCAAGGAATATTCAAATTGAATTTTAAACAATATCAAACATAACATCAAGATTCACACTTAAATTCCCAGCTCGTTACAGAACATAAAGAACTCAGCATATGGTTTATATCAGATAAGATAATAAGATTAAGAGATTTAAGCGAAGGCCCAAAATGCCTTTCTCGATGCCCACATGCCAGCCTCGATATGATAACAACTTAAAGTTGAAGCAGCCAGCACAATAACGGACGAGTTAAATGGAGATTTAAAACATCCAGACTGCACTTGAGCGAATTAATGAAAGAATGGAATAAATCTGTGGATTAACAATTATTTAATAAAGTAGTTATAACAGTCTATTTATATATCAAGCCTGTCGACTTACGATAATTCATACGGAAATATGCGTTAGAGAAGAATCCACGGTCCTCTTTCCGGAGCCGGTACTAATGGATATAAATCCTACTGAATCAGGGGCTTGGAACACATTCAAAAAGAAAATTCCACTTCTCCAACTCCCAGTGGATAACGTACCAAGAATTTACAACTTTGAGAAATACCTCACTGTAGTATTGAGTAATAAAAAGGATTGGAAAAAAGAAACGTTTGCTCAGTATGTAAAAGACCATACCATAACGTGGTATACTGATGCTTCGAAAACTAAAGCAGGGACAGGGGTAGGAGTATTTGGGAAAACTAAATACTCCGAATCAATGGGCACCCTACCCCAGCATCCTTAGTAGAGTTAGTTACTCGAGCATCCTTTCAGAAATCTACGCTATCGAAAGATGCGTACAATTTATCTTAGATAGGAACTATCGAAAACAGGAAATAGCCTTCTTATCCGATAGTCAAGCCGCACTAAACGCGATCAGTAACCGTCAATTCGAAGTTGGTCAAATGATGCGTAAAGAAGCTCAACAAAGTAGGCAAAGAAAATAAGGTCCTCCTACTCTGGGTGTTTGCACCAAGGGATAGAAGGCAATGAAAAAGTAAATGATCTAGCTATAAAAGGAGCGAACACTCCACTAACTGGACCAGAACCGTTCTGTTTTCCAAGCGAGAACCAACTGAAAGCGGAATTGAAGAATCTGGAAGACTCCTGGACACTCGAAAAATCTCCTCAGAACTTACGACCGAGAAAAATCAAAGATTTTTCTTGATTTAAGTAAAAACAATCTTCGGATTATCACGGGGTTTCTAACAGGACACTGTCTCCTCAACGAACACCTCAGTAGGCTGAAGCTGAGAAACAACGGCGAATGCAGATTCTGAGGCGAAAATGGGGAAACACCAGAACACTTTATCACTGCGCCGAGACGACGACCGTTCGTGCCATGAACTTTGGTACGACTGATGTCAAGGATGGAGAGCTGGCCTCTGTAGATCCTCAGATACTGGTTTTTGTTAAAGCCCTAAGACTGTATGAATCAAGTCAAGACTCAAAAAGGGGAACACAAAATAAATCTGTAAGCTCGCGGTGATTAACTCCCCTCCTAAACATTCTACATCCTACTGAATATCGACCCCTATCCACGGAACTGCATTGCTGACAGCCAACCGGCCACGTTGAAAAACGTAACGATGCAGCGAAATAAATCAGTATTGTAGACTATAGGAATAAAGACGGAATTGTAACTGCGGCTGTTTTTAACGGCATTTACTTTCGCGGAACCATAACCGTATTCGAAATTATTTTGTATTATTTGAAATGTATGTCTTTATTGGTGTTACCTTATTGGTAAATTCAAAAAATTGTAGAATATGTTATTCTTGATGCAGAATATGTTATGTACGCATATTGTTTGCCAATCATATACAAACAAGTACACATTGCAGTTGACATAATTCTGGTGGATTAAAGATAAAATATTCAAACAAGTTGACGGTAAAGTTTGTTTCTGGTAGCTAGCTGCTGTAACACAACAGTACTGTACAGGTTTATCAAGGAAATCAGGATTTCGACGAGGACTACGTTCAAATTTAGTTTTAATTCTTTTTTTTTTGTAAAAAAGATGACTCGTTTCTTAAAAACATTATATGTTAAATGCCGATCATTTTGTTTATAGTGCGAAGCAATCCCTATATCCCTATGCGGCATTTTGATGGAAGGCTGTGATTGTGTCTCGACTATCCTTTTATTAGTATGTAAAGTTCAAAATGCCTTGCCTCAGAGTCATAAATTTGAACCTTAACGTACCCCTATCAAATAAACAGAACAACAAAAATCAAGTGATAACGACTTCGCAATACGTAAACATCAGATTTCCTAACGAACTACAAAACGTGGATTGCTTCATGCAAAACAAAATTTAGTTCAATTAAAATTAAAGGTTAGAATGATATAGATCTGGCAAAAACTAGAACCTGGATGTAGGATCGACATGAAAAAAAAATTATCCTATTGTGTTCTTTATATTGATTTGAAAACTGAAACACGTGACTAAGAAAGTGAACGAGGCTCTATCTACACGAATAGAGAATGCATCTCATAATGCGATATGTTTATCGATAATTTTTGAACACATCGATGCATCACAAACGTTCTGAAAATGGAAAGCGCTCTAAAAATAGGTTTATCGCGAAAAAGCCACTGACCCTGCAACGTC